GGGGCAGGAGCAAAGTGCCAGGCCTCTGGGCACCCGGCCTGCCGGGCACAGCCTAACTCACAGAGCAGGGCTTCATCTCCTTCTGGATCCAGAGCAATGCTCCTCCTATATGTAAAATGGGCCAGTTTCAGCAGGACGTGCTCTCCGCCCTGCTCAACCCACGCTGGGTGGGGAGGATGATTTGCCGGGCTGTGAGAGCTAGAAGACCTGGTTCTCCTAAAAGATCTTATTCAGCTCGGTTATGGCAGTGGCTTCCCACTTCAAATAGCTTGGCTAAGTGCTGGCCTCTGCCACTGATTCCCCGCCTTGCCTTGGTCCCATCACCTTGCCTCTCCTTGGCCTCAGTGGCCCCATCTGCAAAATGGTAGTGACAGCTGAATGGGCAGGGGATGGCCTCCCCACATACTGCATAGAGGCCATGCATAGAGCAGGGATCTGGCTGAATAGGGTTGCAATGCGGGAGATCCCTTCAGGGCCCAGTCAGGACAGGGCGAACGGTGCAGGTAGGAGCCAAGGGCACTATCCCCCCTGCCCTTCAATGCCGACAGGTGGGATTGGGATAGGACACAGCATTGGGATAGCTTACAGGTGGCCTCTGAGCCCTGCCATCGGCTCCCCGAGAGAGACAGGCCGGCTGCAGCTGACACCGTGCCCGCCCCGCTGACACGGCTCAGGGAAAAGATCCTTTTGCAAGCTAATTAGCTGCACGGCGACTGCTCCCCTGGGAGGGAACCCAAGCCCCTTAACGAGCCAGGCAACGTTGTCCAAGCCGCGGCGCTCTCAATAATTCACAGCGAGCCTGCCTCAGATGTCGGGCTTTTATCTGGGGCTTGGCTCTGTCTCCTTTTCCCCAGCCCGCTGCATTATTCACCGAGAACGATCGCCTTCCCAGTCGCAGCTCCCCGCCCCCACACAACTTAAACCTTCCCCTGTCCCTTGAAGAGTGCTTATGGCACTGCCTTCCTGCTCCAGACGGCTTGGATGGGCGCTGGCCTCTGCCACTGACTACCCGCTTTGCCTTGGTCACATCGCTTCACCTCTGCTAGGCTTCAGTGGCCCCCACCTGCAAAATGGGAGTGACAGCCGAATGGGCAGGAGGATGGGGAGGCAGAATCGCTTGCTCACTGAGCTCCCTGCATTCAGCACAGAGGTCTTGCACTGGGCAGGGATCTCTGCTCTCACATAGCAAGTACTAAACTCATCCTGGTTGTGCCTAACTTCCCCTATGGCATCTCCTCAGGACCAGGCTTCACTCACCAGCCTGAGTCCCAAATGCACCAGAGGTGAAGATCCTCGGTGAGGTCTTTAAGCTGCATGTTGCTGGTGAGCATATCTGGCCCAAGCCGGTCAGGCCGCAGCTCTCTTTCCTTCTTAGCACACCCCTGGGTTGCCTGTCACTGCCCGCACACCTGCCCGGACTTGCCTCTGCTTTGCCTTTGCCTTCTCACCTCATGCTTTGGGTGGGAGGCTTTCCTTAGGGTTTGACTTGATTATTAACACCACTGGTTTTGCAATACTGCAGCCCCCTGCTCCTCTTTGAGCAGCTGCTTTTCTTCCTCACCGGTGATATTCCTCTCGCCCCTTCTCCCACTGCTTTTTCCTGCTTTGCTTTCTCTTTTCCCCAGATTTATTGCTGCTGTTTTTTCGGGTGAGATTTTCCAGGGACTGGCATTTCCTTGGCCTTACTTCCTTTCCACGTGCCTTGACATACTCAGACGTTAGATCTGCTGGCTACCTACAATAGGGGCAGGCAATTATTTCGGACAGAGGGCCACTTACCAAGTTTGGGCAAGCTGTTGAGGGCTGCATTTCCCTCTCCAGCGCAGGGAAGCAAAAAAAGTCCCGCAGTCCCAGGCCAGAAGCTTTTGCTAGGCAGGGGCTTCTGTTTGCGGGGGCAGGGTTGGGTGGGCCTTGCTGCTGGGTTCCACTCCTGGCTTCCCCTGGGTCCTGCTGCCCCTGTCTCCTGTCATCTTTGACAGGCAGCCAGGAGCAAATAAATATTACATTTTCTAAATACTTTAGGGGCCCCACCGGCCAGATAGAATGGCTTGGCAGGCCGGATCCGGCCCCCAGGCTGTATTTTGCCCACCCCGACCTACAATGTGAGGGATGCAGAAGGGGCCATGACATATCAGCGCTGGTGCTTTGTGAGCGCCTAAATCAGAGTGCAATGAGATCTGCGCTGGGTGTGAGATTGGCATACCTGGGCCCAGCAAAGCCACCCCAGAAATGACAAGCAAGCTCCATGGTTCAGATGTTTCTATCACAGATGCACCAAGAAGCTGTCAGGGAGCTGCAGAGGCCATGTCTAGTCCAACCCCTGCCTGAGGCAGGACCAGCCCTGTGCAAACCAGCCCGGACACATCCACTGTCCAGCCTCTGAGCACAATGACACCATCAGCCTTGACACAGCACCAGACATCGCACCTGAACCTGCCGCGAGGAAAGCAGGGGGACCGCAGCAGCCAACGTCCTGCTGCTGCAAAGGTTAATATACACTCGAGAGACCCCAGGCAGGTGCCGTGCCTCCATGACAGGAAGGCAAAACCCCCCAGTCCATACCAATCTGACCAAGGGGATAATACTCCTTCCTCACCCCCAATGCAGCCTCAGTCTGACCCTGAGCGCAGGGGCAAGACCCTCTAGCCAGCACCCTGCGGGGTTGGTGCCAGCAGGAGCATGGGCACAGCCCAGTCCCCATCCCCATCCTAGGCTGCAGCACCAGCGCCTCTGGGGGAGGCTTAGAAAAAAAACAACCCTTACACATGGGGGGGTGAAATTCCCTCCCAGCCCCATGCAGCATCCAGCAAAGTGTCAACCCACAGTGTCACAGCAGTGCAGGTGTGGAGGGTGGCCCTTTGGACAGGACACTGCCTGCTCGCAGTGAGCTAGACCGGCTTTCAAGGATGGAGGGCTGCTTTGTGGCAGAATCTGAGTTGGGAGATGAGCAACTTCCCATAGCCTTAGGATAGATTTACTGCAGCTGTGCCTCTATATTCCTCATTGCCTCCAAAGACCAGACCCTATCCTCCCCTAATCAAGACATCACCCCAATCACGCTCCCCTACACAACATCCTAGCTTGCCGGAGCGTGCTCCTTTAACAGGGAACAACCAGGCAGCAAAACGGAGCTACACCGCTGGGGAGTGTATGGCTCATGGGTGATTTTACAGTTTTTCCATGGGTTTGGGCAATGCGTCCCTTGTGTTCATGCAGCCCTACAGTAACCAGCTCCAGCCATGGGTGTGTTTAACCAGCGCGTGGGCTCTCTGGTTCCAGATCTAATCACAGACCAGGAGGGCTGGAAGGGACCTCGGGAGGTCACATCGAGTCCAACCCCCTGCTCCAAGCAGGACCAGCCCCAACTACATCATCCCAGTGGAGGCTTTGTCTAGCCGGGGCTTCAAAACCTCCAAGGATGGAGATGCCATCACCTCTCTGGATAGCTTGTTCCAGTGCTTTACCACCCTCCTAGCAAGAAAGTTTTTCTTAATATCCAGCCTCAACTTCCTTTGCTGCAGCTTGAGCCCATTGCTCCTTGTCCTGTCATTTGCCCCCACTGAGAACAGCCCAGCTCCATCCTCTGCACACCCCCTCCCTGCAGGGAGCTGAAGGCTGCTGTTCAACCCCCCTTGGTCTTCTCTTCTGCAGACTAAATCAGCCCATTTCCCTCAGCCTCTCCTCACACCTCATGTCCCCCAGCCCGCAACCATTTTCATATCCTCCACTGGACTCCCTCCAATATGTCCACATCTTTTCTGCAGTGGGGGCCACAACTGGACACAGGACTCCAGATGTGGCCTCCCCAGTGCTGAATAGAGGAGAAGAATCACGTCCCTCGATCTGCTGGCAATGCTGCTCCCAATGCAGCCCAGGATGCCAGTAGCCTTCTTGGCACCAAGGGCACACTTCTGGCTCCTGTCCAGCTTCTTGTCCCCTGTCCCCCCAGGTCCTTTTGTGCAGAGCTGCTGCCCAGCCCGTCACCCCCAGCCTGCACCTGTGTATGCGATTGCTCCCTCCTAAGTGCAGGACCTTGCACTTGTCTTTGTTGGACATTTCTCTTGCTCCAATCCTCCAATTTGCTTAGGTCACTCTGAATCCTAGCCCTGCCCTCCAGCGTATCTACTACACCCCCAGCTTGGTGTCATCTGCAGACTTGCTGAGGGTGCGCTCTGCCGTCGTCCAGGTTGTTGATGAAGACACTGAACAAAACCAGCCCCAGGACTGACCCCGGTGGCGTTCCACATGATACCGGCTGCCAACTAGGTATCGAGCCATTGATTACTACTCTTTGAATCCGACAATCCAGCCTGTTTTCTATCCACCCCACAGTCCATTCATCCAACCCGTAACTCCTCAGCTGGCTTGCAAAAGAGACAGCACCTCTTTCCACCCCCTCCCCTGGCAGTAGACACAGGTCCTTCCAGGCTTCTCCTTTGAGAGTCGCTTTGTATTTAAGCCCCAGTTTCGGGGGAACACGCTGATGTCCTTGCAGTGAGGGGAAACCCCAGGAAATAACCAACCCAGCAGCTCAAGGGCTGGGAGAAAGGAGTCTTTCCTCGAGCACGTGCCTAATGGATGAGCTAAATAACATGCTAAAGGAGGAAATCTGTGAAAACATGCATCACCTAGCACACAGTACTGAAACTTAAATGCCCAGGGAAGTAAAACCCAGAGAGGCAGGAAGAGAAATAAAACAGAAAGTCATCTGTGGCAGGGCTGCCAGATGTTCCAGGTGTCTCATTCCCTATTGAGACACCCAGACAACTCCCATATGCATGGTGCACCAGCCAAAAGCAATGGCAAGACCCTGTGAAAAGCAGGCGGCTTATTCAGGGGCTTTCAGGCTACCGAGTTTGCAAATTTTAGCTCCGGTTTGCAGGGCAGGGAATCCGTCTGGTGTCCCGAGAAGTGGCCGTTAGCTTCTCGGTCCAGGCTCGAAGCAGCTTGTGTGGGGCTGCTCCGGGCGCGGGGAGCGGGGAGGCGATGGGCTGGCTCACCTGTTGGAGAAGACCTTGCTGTAGTTGAAGACCTGGATCTCCAGCATCTCGTTGCCATTGATGTTGCTGGCAATGGGCCACCGGAAGGTCTGGGGAGGAGAGAAGGGACACCGGGTTAGGGCACTTCTGGGGGCTGCTGCAGGCCAGGCACTGGGTTGCGGGGGCTGTACGTGCCCAGGGATCAGCCGGTGCCGACCGCAGCAAGGCAGTGCCACAAAGCGCCCCGGGGAAGAGGTGCAAGGGAGGGAACATGCTGGGATAAGGTTTTGGGAAGGACCCGGTGCAGGGATAGGGAAGGGAGGTCTACAGCATCCCTCTCTCCTGTCACTAGGGGATGCAGCCCAGCAAGGAAGGGCTTTGCTGAGTTTTGAAATGATGCTTATGTGTCTTTGGACATGTGTCTTTGTCCTCAGGCAGGGGTTGGATCAAATGGGACCTCTGGAGATCCCTTCCAGCCCCACGGCTCTGGGATTTCTGACTCTTTGCAGCAGAGGATCACTCACCTCTTCAACCGTGGCCAGCTCCGCTCTGCTGAGAGTTTCCCTAGCATTAGGGGATGGGGCATGGAGGTGGAAATGCAAAGGGCAACACCTTGTCAAAGGAGCTTGGTCACCAGGGGCAGAGGGAGTGGCGTTTTAACACTTTAAAATGTTGTCATTAAATCAACATTAAAAAGGCAGTTTCCTCCCAAAGGTGTTGGCAGAAAATAGCACAGGTGCCTGCCTCTCTGCAAAGCATCTAAAATAACAGGGCGCATTTAACAACCAGCAGGACACTGGCATATGCGCTATTGCCATAACATCCTGATCTGGACAAGGAGGAATGGACTGATGGAGCCTGAAGGGTTTTGTCCAGTTCAGACGTCTGCAAATCACCACAGATCAGCTGAGGAGAGGTTTGGAAAGCACATTGCATTGAGCCTGTTTTAATGCTCTGTTTTAAACTGAACCTGCAAAATCAATTGCAAAAGTCTCATCCGGGCCAAGTGGCAGAGACGCAACCAACTACCGCATTTTGCTGATCTCGTCCAGAATTGGTCCTGGAAAGGCCAGAGAAAAAGGAGACGGAGAAGCCGTGGGCCAACCCACCCACCCAGACTCCTCGCTAAGAGCCTGTTAGCAGTCCAGTCTCCAAATCCACATTGGCTTCAAGATGGTTTAGGACCCCGTGAGACCGAGGTTGAGTGTTTCTGCCCAGCTTGAAGCAAAGGGGATGAAAGGGTTGAGATGCAGAGCTCCCTCCCCCGGCAGCATGAATTTCACTGTCCCTTCCTGACTGCCAACCATTCACATGGAGACCCCCCTAAACTGCCTGATTCCTCGAAGGGTGAACGGGGAATATAATATAATATAATATAATATAATATAATATGCTGTTTCATGCTACTCTTTCTCAGACTGCTGCAGCATTTCTAGTGCTACTTTTGGGGGCTCAGGCTGGCCCATCCCCGGGACGGGCTGTGGTTTAACGTCTCTTCACAGAGGCTCTACGGCTTTTTCACTCCTTGCTTTCCAGACAGCCGTGCTTAATTAGCCGGAACCGAACCGATCAATACGCTCGGCAGGGGATGCGGCTGCCAATTCCTAGAGCCATTATCCTGCTTTCGTGCCATTCATCCCTGCAAAGCTGCCGTATCTCAGCAGCCTGCGCCAGGCCGTGACTGCGGAGAGGTGCCCCCGGCGAGGCAAACCCTGCAGTGGAAAAGGGGGTAGGCAGGCGGTTGAGGAGCAGGGGCTTTTCCATCCAGGCCCCTTTGAAACCAGCTCGCCACGGCAGCCCTGGAGAGCACTGAGCTGCCGTCGTTCAGAGAGGCAAATTGCAGACAACTGGGCCGCGTGGTTGTTAATGATCCCCAAAAGAAGAGCCCGCAGCTAACGTCCAGCTGGATGACCGTCCTTTCTACCACCTGCATGCATACAAAATGTGCTATTCTATGCCAAGGGGCAGCGCAACGCTGCGGTACATGGTGCCATGTTCCTCCCCAGAGGCGGCTGCAATTTATAGGTGGGTTCCCTGCATCGGCTGTCTTAGCTTCTCCCCACAAAGGGCTCTGTGCAGATGCAGGATTGCAGGATTTGGGGTCAGGAAGGGATTTCCCCCCCTGCTCAGACTGGTACAGACTGGGGAGGTGTTGCCTTCCTCTGTAGCAGGGGCACGGCCTCTACCTGGGGTCTTGGGACTATATATTAACCCCCTTTTACAGCAGCAGGATGCTGGCTGTTGTGATCCCTCTGCTTGCCCTGGGGCAGGATCGGGTGTGATGCCTGGTGCGGTGTCAGGGGTGACTGCAGTTTTGCTCAGAGGCTGGGCAATGGGTTTGTCTGGGATGATTTGGACAGGGCTGATCCTGCCTCAAGCAGGGTTTGGACTAGATGTGATGTCTGCAGCTCCCCTCCAGCCCCACGGCCCTGTGACCTCTATGACTTTCCAGCTCCCCAAACTGCTGGCTGTGTTTCCCAGCTCATCGACTCCCAGGACTTGTCATCACTGAGCTAGCGCTTCCCCATCCAGGACCAGCAGGCATCCTGCAGAGAAGCCAGCAGTACCCCGACCGCCTCTCCTTGGCATGTCCTGTTGCTTCAGTCCTCTTTGGACCACCCTGCCACGCCAGCAAAGCCTAAACGTTGCCGTCCGCGGGACCTGGATACCCAAACAATGCCATGCTCTCTCCCTTGCCCAAGGAAGGGGGCAGACGTGAAACCATTGAATCACAGACAAGGAGGGATGCAGGGAGCTCAGGAGGTCACATCTAATTCAACCCCTGCTCCAAGCAGGACCAGCCCCAACTGCATCATCCCAGACACGGCTTTGTCTACCCGAGGCTTCAACACCTCCAAGGATGGAGACTGCACCACCTCTCTGGGTGACCTGTCCCAGTGCTTCACCACCCTCCTAGCAAGAAAGTTTTTCCTAATATCCAACCTCAACTTCCCTTGCTACAGCTTGAGCCCATTGCTCCTTGTCCTGCCATCTGCCCCCACTGAGACCAGCCCAGCTCCATCCTCTTTGCAGCCCCCCTGCAGGGAGGTGAAGGCTGCTATTCAATCCCCTCGGTCTTCTCTTCTGCAGACTCAATCAGCCCATTTCCCTCAGTCTCTCCTCACCAGTCCTGTCCCCCAGCCCACAACCATTTTCATCGTCCTCCACTGGACCCTCTCCAATGTGTCCACATCCTTTCTGCAGGGGGGGGGCTCTGAAATGGCTCAGAAAGCTGCAAGCACAAGCTGACCGGGGTGTCAGGAACAAGCAGGGCCCCAATCTCTGGCTTCTAGTCACAGAAATAATTAATGGTGGGTAGCGAGCGGCGGGGGGAAGAAATGCAACCAAGGAGCTGGCTTAGGAAGGAGAATGGCCTCAAAGCCTTCCCAGACCTGGGCCGGTGCAGGGAAGGGCAGCGGGGTGGGAGCAATGATGACCCCTCTCATCCAAGCAGAGGTCTCAGCAAAATGAAGGCCAAGACAGGATACAACTGGGCTCTGCACAAACTGGGGGCAGGCCAAGCATAGCATGGAATACATTTTGGTCGCAAGCAGAAGGATGCAAATGCTTTGGGCAGGTGGGGTTCGAGCCCGGGCCACAGTGAGGAGCAGGGAGGGCGCAAGGGTTGGACTCTCACGCAGAGGAAGCAGAGCTCTGCCTTTGGGGACCCAGATGGTCCCTTCCAGCTCTGTGTCCCCTGCAATAGGTGAGCACGAGATGGCAGGGCAACGGAAAGGAGAGAAAGCCCAATGGTGCCCAGAGGGACCGGGAAAAGACCCCTAAAAGGCCTCACGGGCGAGCTGATAGTTGCATGTCACAGCACTGCATGCAGAAACCACGGCTTGATGAGCAAGGTCTCCCCAAAGCGCTGCTAGGAACGAGCCGTGGGCTGTCAATATAAAACCATCAGAGCGCCCGGCTTCCCGCATTGCATCCAAGTGCAAGAGCCCAGATCGAAGAAGCATGATCAAAGCAAACCATTCACGAACACAGGCTAAAATTATTCCTCCCGGATCTTTAATGAATGCTTACAAACTCTGAACACACTCCTGCTGACAGGGCGGTTCGTGAAAGCAGTCAAATGAGACAAAAATTAGCTGTGCTTTTTTGATGCTGCCTATATTTTCTGACCAGTGCCAGGTATGTGCCATGATACAGATGCCAGGGCATCCTTGAGGGGGTCGTTTTGTTAAGCCAGTGAGAAGGCAACCAGGTAAATGTTCATCTTTATAAATTGCCCTATAAATAAAAGCTTGGTGTGCAGCTGCATGGGGCAGCATTGCAAGGGAAAAGCACTGCCTGGGACAGGAAAGCATCCCCGTTGTCCTGCAGGGCATCTGTGCCAAGAAAGAGAGAGAGTCACAGACAACGAAGGTTGCAGGGAGCTCAGGGGGGTCACGTCTAGTCCAAGCCCCTGCTCAGAGCAGGACAAGCCCCAACTCCATCATCCCAGACAAGACTTTGTCTACCTGGGGCTTCAAAACCTCCACGGATGGAGAGTCCACCACCTCTCTGGGTAACCTGTTCCAGTGCTTCACTACCCTCCTCGGGAGAAGGTTTTTCCTAATATCCAACCTCAACTTCCCTTGCTGCAGCTTGAGCCCATTGCTCCTTGTCCTGTCATCTGCCCCCACTGAGACCAGCCCAGCTCCATCCTCTTTGCAGCCCCCCTGCAGGGAGGTGACGGCTGCTATTCAATCCCCCTCGGTCTTCTCTTCTGCAGACTCAATCAGCCCATTTCCCTCAGCCTCTCCTCACCAGTCCTGTCCCCCAGCCCCACAACCATTTTCATTGCCCTCCGCTGGACTCTCTCCAATGTGTCCGCATCTTTTCTGCAGTGGGGGGGCCCACAACTGGACACAGGACTCCAGATGTGGCCTCCCCAGTGCTGAATAGAGGGAAGAATCACTGCCTTCGATCTGCTGGCACCGCTCCTGATAATACAGCCGATCACACCGTTACCTTTCTTGGCAGCACGGGCACACTGCTGGCTCCTGTTCAGCTTCTCATCCCCTGTCCCCCCACGTCCTTTCCGGCAGAGCGGCTGCCCAGCCTGTCGGCCCCAGCCTGCCCCGGTGCAGGGGATTGCTCCCTCCTCAATGCAGGACTT